AGGGCGGGAGTCGTGCCGGTGAGCCCCTGGGTGTGGCGGTGGGTGCCGCCGCCCAGCCCTGCGCGGAGGAAACGCCTGAGTAACGGGACTTAAGACACTCTTTGGAGGTGCGGCGCTCGCTCTCCTGCTGCGCTCCTGGAGGTGGCTGGCTCTGTGACCACAGCTGGGGGACCCGAGGGTCGCAGCGGGCAGGACCCGCAGTGGGGGCAGCAGGCTGGTGCTGGGGTGGCCGTGCCCGTCGTCCGGGGCCCGTCAGGGATCAGCCTGGGTTCATCACCTCGTGGTGCCATCCCGCCTCTCCGCTGAGGTCTAGCCCGAGCTCATTCCATGCTCTGTCCCGGCTGCAGGGCTGTGAAGCGCCCGCTGGCACCTACAGCTCTCGGGTGTTGCCTTTAGTTTTGCTGTACCGCTGCTGTTTGAGCAGAGTTTGGGCCTTCCTTTCGGAGTGTGCTAAGCAAAGGTCTGTGGGCGTCTGCTGGCATGGCTGTGTGCCCTCTACGTGCTGCCTGTCCACGTTCCCTGTGCATCTTGTTGCTTTTGCTGTGCTGGTTGGGGTGCTTTGAGCCACGCTGCTCCGCAGCTTTGCCTAGGAAGCACAGTGTCCTCCCCGGGCGCTGCCCGAGAGCTCAGCTCATGGAGGAGATCCCTAGCATCTCCTCAGGGGACAGCCCAGCACAGGGCAGGGAGCGACGATCCAAGCTGGAGGGTGAGGCCTGGGTGGGAGAGGCAGCTCTGGTGAGCCTGTGAGGGGACCAGACAGTGATGTGGGGATGGAACCACTCTGCTGAGGGTTCACGGGAGACATGGGAGCGATGTGGAGTGAGAGCCATGTGCCTTGAATGTGGAGGCTCCTGTGTGGGAGGTGAGCAGCAGAGAAAATGGCTCTTGGGACTGGGTGAGTGTTTGCCCAACTCAGCCAGCCCCTTCTGTTCTGTGTGTTCCCCTTTACCTCATTTTCTCTCTTCTTTATAGGAATGGTTTCTTTGTGGCAGATGTGTTGCACAGTCCTCATAAATTCACCCTCAGAAATACTTCAGTAACTGCCCCTGGGCTGCTGCTGGGAGGGGTGATCCTCCTTACCCAGGCAGCTCTGCTCTGACTTATTCTGCCCCAGGCTTCGGGTTCCATGGTTGGCTTATACCAACCAAAGGCTGATTTCGGGTCAGGCAGTTTAGCGGGTTGAGGTGGAAACCCAGTGTGCGTATGAGGAGGAGGAAGGCAAGGGCCAACCCTTTCTGCAGGTACACAGGTTTAGGTCAGCTAAAAGCCATCATCTTGCATGTCCTGGCATCAAGCAAGAGGGACTTGTTGCCGCTCAGCTCAGATACCTCCTTGTCCTCTGGCCAGTAACGTGGGAGCAGGTCCTGCTGCTTGCAAACTCTCTGGTGCTGAGCATTACTTTTCACTGCCTTTTGCCTCATTTGTTAAATCTTGAGCTCTTGAAACTCTCAAGACAGTCTGTAAAGCTATTCTTGTTCAAACAAAGCTCCATCCATTAAAACTCAACAGTAAAAGAATCACACCAAGGGTTGGTGCTGCTTGAACTCGGTGTGTTTTTACTGCTGGAGCCTGCTGCTGGCGTGGGACTGGAGGTGGGGCTGTGTGAGAGTGTGTTGGGCTGTAACTGCTGGCAAACTCAGCTTCAGAGTGGGGAGAGTGAGGGAGAAAGGGGGCAGCTGCTTTCACAGAATCATAGAATGGTTTGGGTTGGAAGGGACCTTAAGCATCATCTAGTCCCACCCCCCTGCCACAGGCAGGGACACCTTCCACTAGCCCCGGTTGCCCAAAGCCCCGTCCAACCTGGCCTTGAACCCTTCCAGGGAGGGGGCAGCCACAGCTTCTCTGGGCAACCTGTGCCAGGGCCTCATCACCCTCACAGGAAGGAATTTCTTCCTTACAGCTAATATAAATCTTCCCTCTTCCAGTTTAAAGCCGTTACTCCTCATCCTATCCCTTCAACCCCCAATATATAAGTCCCTCCCCACCTTTCCTAAGGTCTCCTCAGAGCCTTCTCTTCTCCAGGCTGAACACCCCCAATTCTCCCAGCCAGTCCTCACAGGGGAGGTGCTCCAGCCCCCTGAGCATCCTCGTGTCCTCCTCTGGACCTGCTTGAGTAGGTCCATGTCCTTGTTATGCTGGGGATCCCAGAGCTGGACACAGCACTGCAGGGGGGGTCTCAGCAGAGCAGAGTAGAGGGGGAGAATTCCCCTCCCTTGACCTGCTGGCCACTTTGCTCAAAGCAGCGTGAGAACAGAGCAGGCGTTAATCATTTTGGGGGAAGAAGTTCATGAACATCTTCTATAATGATTTTTCTGGATTATGAAATGGGTGACTGGCGGGTGGCAGCTGTCTGGGAGAGGGCAGCATGAGATTCAAGATAGTGCTAGAAAGCCCGTGTATGCACTTAGATAGTGGAAGCTTTTGCACCTTCACTGAAGGTTAAGATTCTTACTTAGGCTGAGACTGTGAGATGTCTGGAACCATGTTATGGATAGAAGCTGTAAGAAAAAAGGGGAAAAACAGTGTTGCATTGGCCGGGAATCGAACCCGGGCCTCCCGCGTGGCAGGCGAGAATTCTACCACTGAACCACCAATGCTCCAGCTGTGTGCTGCTGCCTGCACATCTGCCTGCACATCTGCCTGCGCCTCGCTGCCCAGCGGCTGCCGCAGGGGAGCCGGGGCTGAAAGGCCTGTTGGGCGACCCGGGACCTTGAAGCGGCTGTGTACGGGGCTACAGATCTCTTCATTTAAGCAGAGCTGATGCCTTAAACGTCTCTGGGTAACTGATGGGGTTTCAACCCCAAGCCCCAAATTAAGGTTGACATGTGGGTGATTCCCACAGCCCTTCCCAAAGTGGGGTGAGTTTCCCTTTAGGCTTCCCCCCAGGGTGGTGCCGGCCTGGCAGACAGAGCCATTGGGTAAAGGAGCCCCAGGTGTCTGCAGTCAGTAACCCAAGGTCAGTGTCCCACTGAGGGATAAAAGCTGGGACCCCTTGCAGGCAGGGGCAGTGTCTGTCTGTGAGGTGGATGCCCTGTGCAGAGTTCCCTGTTGGGGAAGGACCTCCTGCCTCCCTGGGACTGGGCTTCAGTCAGGTCTGGCTGTTGTAAGCATGGGCTGTGTAGCGATTAATTATGTGTCTTCCTTGATTTTATGTATTTGGCTTGACTCTGTTGTCTCCCATCCCCTCTACAAGAGACTGTATTTCACTGCTTATCCCACCTATTGTTGGTCATGCGGTGTTGTTGTTGGGGTCAGTGGGATTGATGTCGATTAGGTATAATCTGACTTGTTTGTATCCCAGTGCTCACCCATGTACTGACCCTTTTGTATCAAATCAAATTTGGTTGTTGGTTCATCTTTATGCTGACTGTGTCCTTTCTGCTAGGCCTGATAACTGGTAAAACAGTAACGAGCTGCAAGTTTCTGGGGAGGAGGAGCAGGTATTGCCTATAGAAACCTTGTTTGCTGTTTTGTTATACTCTTAATATATTTAAGTATATGGAACATCAGCTGAAGCAATGCATGGGTGGCTGGAAAGGTCCAAAATTTTGGCGCTGGGTGTGAGTCTGGTGAGTAACAATTCCCTACTTAGCCACCAGCGCTCCTGGTGCGTGCCAAGCAGTTCTCTGCTGCCGTCTTGGGCCATGTTGGGGGTGTATGACCCTCGTAACCCTCCCTGTTGGAAAGGGTGTTTGAAGAGCTGGTGAATTCTCTAGAAGCACACAGCCATGGTGAGGCAGCCCTTGAGAGTCCATCCTGGGCTGGGAGTTCCTGAATGCTGTGGGAGGCTGCAGGCTAGGAGCAGCAGGAGGGCAGTGACCTGCTGCTGGATGGGAGTGGGGAGGAGGGGAGAGCTTTGGTTTCACTTGTGTGTTCAGTGTTCCCCATTTCGGTACCACTTTCTGTGATGTTTCTCATGGCTGAAAAATCCCTGTTTCTGGTGGCTGCAGGGAGTTGACCCCCTGAGCTCAGCTATTGGGCAAAATCTGAAGCCCTCTGGTTGCTTTCCTTTTCTCTCCCCAGGCTGGTACGAGAGTTTGTGGCTCAGAACAACACATCTCAAATCAAACATGTGATCCAGATCCTGTCGCAGGAGTTTGCGCTCTCCCAGCACCCCCACAGCCGGAAAGGGGGACTCATTGGCCTGGCCGCTTGCTCCATTGCCCTGGGCAAGGTAGGTGTGGGTGGAGTTTTTTTGGCTTGTGTTCGCTGCAGTGGGAAAGTGGCGGCTCCTCCTGGGTCAGTGTGATGGGGAGACTCAGGCTGGTGGCCCTGCAGCTCCCCAGCCCCCTCCCTGCATTGCACCATACACCTGGCTTGTGTTTGAGTTTCCCCAACACACCCAGCCACATCCTTTGGTCCCTGGTCTGGGTGCATCCTGGCAGCTCCCTAGGCGTGATTTAAGTGCATCTGTCCATCCCGTGTCTCCAGCAGCTGAACTAGACTCAGCAGGTTGGGTATTAATTTGTGTTAACGGAGCTGAGAAGAGGTGCAGCCCTTCCACCTCCCACTCCCAGCTCAACTGGCTCCAGCAGCGCGGGCAGGGCCTGTGGGAAGCAGCATTAAGGTATGGGCCAAATGGTGGCAGAGTCATAGTCAAAGTAAGCAAGTGGCATAAGGTGTCAAGCTGTGCTAGCCTGAGCTAGCAGTTTTCTGATTTACTTGCTGAATGCGTGGATCGCTCAGTCTGGTTCTGGAGGTGTTATGTTGATGCTCTTTGCATGGGAAGCTGGCTGATTTCTGTCGTGATTAAGGTCTCTATAATGTTTACAAGCTCAGTAAGTTTCCTCCAGGGCTATGCCAGAGTATGTGGATCCCCGTGAAGGGGAGCACAAACTCTGCAGGCTCACAGATCTGTTGGGCTTTTGAGTCAAACCATGTGGCTGGTTTTTGAAAGCACCTGCAAGGGAAGGAGTCGTTTTAGTCTGTAGTAAGGTGTACGTCAGAGAAAGCAGAGGGCTTGGGAAGAGCAGGCTGTGCCTGTTGGAAGAGTTACAATTTATTCATTTATTAAATACAATTTAATTCATTTATTCCCCATCTAATGACAGTCACAACTGGTCTGAGCAGATGCTTCGAAGCCTGGTGACTTTTACATTAACTGCCTTTATGCTGGTGGCCAAGGACTTCTGAGCAGCGCTGCTGCCTTCATCCTCTTGTTACAATGCAGAATCTCTTTGCAAAACCCTCCTTCCGAGGATGAGCAACACTCTAGTTTGCCTCAGCCCAGGCATGTAAGCCACCTTCTCCCGCACAATGCGGGGACAATTGACTGGGGGATGGAGGAGTTGCTTTTGGTGGCCTTGAGGGGCCCTGGTAAGACTTAGAGTTGAATCTTTAATCTGCTAGTCCATGTGTTGTTGATTTTCTTATCTCTTTCCTAAACGCTCAGGAAATGCCAGCCTGTTTCCCCAAAGTAGGGGTTTTTTAACTTCAGAACAAGGCAACCTCCTGCCTCTGCCTCTGGGTTTGTCTGAAACTCCTGCTGTGATGGTGGGTCCTTAAGCAAAAGTCTTTTGGGCTGGGGAGCGACCTCACTAATGACTGTATTTGCTTGTGGGTAGAGTCGGGGTGAGTCTGGTGTGGCTCTTCCACGGTACAGGAGGACAAACTTCAGCATGTAAAATGAATCTTGCCTGAGAATTGGAGCCCCAGAGTCACTTCATCCAACAAATATGTCCATCTTAACTCTGCCATCTGTTGTAGCTCCTTATTCATTAGCAGCTGCACAGGCTGAAGCTGCTCCTCTTCTGGTTGCTGAGACCACGGTTAAGTTGGTGTTTCTGGAAACAAGAGGGCAGGAAGGTGCTTTGGGCACTGCCAGTTGTCTTTCTTTTTATGAAGCCTGTATCACCAGCTCCTCCACACTAGCCAGTTCCTGATGTTACAAAGAGAAGCCCAACATACCAAGGGCAGTTTTGCTTAACTGAAGGTGCAGGTGGGCTTGATCTGTCACTCTTTGGGATGTTCTTCCTGGTCCTGGAAACCTTGGTGGGTTTATGCCAAAACCAGCTGACAGCTGGCTGCTGTAAGGGGTGGTATCTGCTGGCTTTGCTGGGGATCTGCCTTGTCTCCTGCCTGCAGGGCCAAGGGAGGCAGGGATGGATTTCTCTGTGGGTCAGTCTCCAGAAGAGATGAATGATGTGCGGAGGGGAGCGGCCTCTCTGGCTTTGAAAGGTCATCTCTGGGAAGCAAAATCAGACAAGTACAGCTGCAGTAATCACTTCAGTTGCTGGGCGTAGACTCCCTTGAAAGAATTTATCAGCCTGCTCAGGTGACCGTCACTGTACCTGAATAATAAATTCATTAATAATTCCTGTCCATCATAGGTGCGCTAAGTCATCATGAGCTTGAATTGTTGCACTATGTTCCAGGGCAGTGCCCTCTCTTCCCTGTCCCTGTGGCATGGTCCTCATCTAACCAGTCTCCTCCTGTCCACCAGGACTCTGGGCTCTACCTGAAGGAGCTGATTGAGCCAGTGCTGACATGTTTCAATGATGCCGATAGTCGGTTGCGGTACTACGCTTGTGAGGCCCTCTATAACATTGTCAAGGTGGCCAGAGGTTCTGTCCTCCCACACTTCAACGTGCTCTTTGATGGCCTCAGCAAGGTATGAAGCTCCCTCCCAACCCCCACATGTTTTTCTTTCCCACGCTGGAGAAGTAAGTCTTGTTCTCTAGTCCTTGCCTTCTCTAGGTCAAACCAACCAAGTTGCCCAAGGTCGTCTTTCTAAGTAAACTGGTTTGCTTTGACCCAAGCAGGTCTGAAGGACCAAATGAGCAGTTTCTGCAGCAGCACACTGTCCACTGATGTTGTGGGTGCTGGAGTTTACTGTAAGATACCTTGTTCTCTGTCCTCACCCCCAGGATGTATTTTCCTGCTCCTTGTTGAGTGGTATTCAGAAATAAGGCTGACAGGACTGCTGCAAGTGAGGTGGCTCTGTGGCTTTGTGGGTCTTTAGGGACAAAACCATGTCTGTGTAGACCTGTCTTTGCAGCTTTTCACTGGACACCTTTATTTCTCTGCCACTTGGGAGTGTGGCTGCTGGCACATGAAAACCTGTGTAGCTGGGGGAGGTAACGGATGCTTGAAATCCCCCCCTAGGAAGTCTCTCAGCAAAGTTTGTTGGAGCCTAATGAGGAACTGGAGATAAAGAGAGTTCTCTGTGTCCATCCCTGTAATGCCAAAGGAGAGCAATGGTCGGTCCTGTGAGCGTGCTGGGAGCTCCGCTGCAGAGTGGGGAGCAGACCTGGGACCCACTGCTGCAATGGCTCTTGTTTCTGTCATTCACAGCTGGCTGCTGATCCTGACCCAAATGTCAAAAGTGGCTCTGAGCTCCTCGATCGGCTTCTCAAGGTATTTTCCCTCTCCAGCTGAGAATCCTCAGTGTGGGCTGCAGGGATGTGCTGTCTGGGAACGTGTCAGTCCCCCAGGCTGCAGCTGCTAAAACCATCCCAGTTCAGTCCTGTGGCTACTGTCAAAACATTCCTTTCTCTCACCAACCATAGCCTCTTAGTTTGGGGGTCTGGTAGTGATCTCAGGCAGTTGGATTGAGGGGCTGGTAAGTTTTCACAGTGGCATGTGTGCATTCAGCTCTTGGGAACTGGGTGTCTGGGGAAGCCAAGTTTTAGTCCGAACAGGGTTTCAGCCCTGTCCCAGGCAGCAGAAGGGCTGTTCCCCTACTTTTCCTCCCTTGCCTAAGTGAGTAGTGATGCAAGCGGAGCTGCTTTGCTGCTGCTTCGGGGTGTGGGGCTCAGTTTCTGTTCCTGTTCTGCCTGCTGATGGGCTTTGACTCTTGCAGACCTCCCAGTTCCTTTGCTGCTGTTCAGAGGTGAGTGGCTCCCTGCCAGGTCCTGCCCTCACTTCTCCTCGTTATCACAGCAGTTAATGCAGCCTCCACATCACCTGCTGCAAACCTTCTGGCTGGGAGATCTGCTCCGCCAGGCTGGTGTAAGAGACTTACCCATGCAGCAAAATCCACCAAGTGTGTAGGAAGAGCTTTAAAGGAAGGTCACTGATACAGGTGATACATCAAATGGGCTTGCTCATGTGTGCAACATGCCACTGAGGCATGAAGCTCCCATACTACTCCTGTTCAGCCTGGCTGGCTCACAGCAGGCAGGAGCCTCCCTCTCTGGGTCTGGCTCATCGTTAGTCCCTGCCCAGAGGGGATTACATTGCCTGAATAAACCTCGTGATTCCTTCTTCCCAGGTCTCCTGACCCACAGACCCATGCATCAACTGCTTGTCATCTTTTTCCTGTCATGTGCCTTATAAAAGGCTGGGTGGGGCTGGTCGTGTGGGTGTGGGGTGGTGGCCGTTCCTCCTAACACCCTCTGCTTGGGCTCTGCAGGACATTGTGACAGAGAGCAACCAGTTTGATTTGGTGGGCTTCATCCCACTGCTGCGTGAGAGGATTTACTCCAACAACCAGTATGCCCGGCAGTTCATCATATCCTGGGTAGGTACATAGGGTGCCACATGTGTCTGCCAGCCCAAACTTCAAAACACCGTGACCCGTCAGCATGTGCCTGGGCAAACGGCAGATATCTCCCACGATGTGTGAACTCGGGCACCTGAATTTACTTGGGCAGGGTTTTTTTATGCCAGCAGAGTTTTTTCACCTGCTTCTTTAAAATGCCAGCTCCCTGTCACCTCACTGTTGCAGCTGCAGGGAGATCATGCTGCACTTCTGCCAACCTGGTTCAGGATGTTGCACACCAAGTTAGAAAACACAGTCAGAGCATTGCCTGTGTAAATAGATTGTGGTCTAGAGGTTCCAGTCTCTCAAAGGACAGTGTCAAGCTGCTTTTGATCACCCAGCAGTTCTGGAGGGATGTTGCTCTCCAGGAGGCAAGGCATCTCCACTTGCCTTTTCCTTTCTGTGCCTGGCCAGGGTCTGGGGAGAGATGTATGCCTCTGCACGCTCTTCCAGCCATACTGTTTGCTGTCCCAGGTCTGCCTGTACGTGTCTTGGCAATTTTTCCTGATCTCTGCTCTGTTTACAGAGCTGTGATTGGAGACATGACAATGCTGGAGGCTGATCGCTTGCTTCCTCTGCTAGCCCAGCTTCTTTCTGAGGTGGGCAACTCCACACTGTCCTCTTGTTCTTCTTCCCCATGCCACACAGCTTAGCTTGGAATTCCTCAGTATCATGCTAGGTTTGTGCTGGTGATGTTAGTTAGCTTCTCCGAAACTCATCTCTTCTTTCTTGTTCCTCCCCTGAGCTAGATCCTGGTCTTAGAGTCTGTGCCTGACATCAACCTCTTGGATTACCTGCCAGAAATACTGGATGGGCTCTTCCAGATCCTGGGAGACAACAGCAAGGAGATACGGAAGATGTGAGTGTGGAGCCTGGTTGGGCATGGCGGCTGTGTCTTGCTGTCTGTCCGTCACCCTCTTGCTTTGTTTGCAACTCTTCTGTATAACTGCAGCAAAACCCCATGTGCGTGGCAGGAGATGGAGCAATCTGGCTGGCTTGGTCGGTGGATCAAAGTGTCCTTGGCAAGTGCCTCCCTTCACCAGTTTGTTGTGGCTGGAGTGGCTGTGGAGGACACCGTGGTCTGTGCTGGGGGACGTACTTTTGGCTCAGTTGAGCTGTTGCCTTCCCAGCACTTGCACCCAATAACAGAGCTGCAGAGGCTCATGTGTGCTTCTATAGGATGGGCTGTCAGCTCTGTGAACAAGCCTGCAGCATGCGAGCCTCTCTCAGCAAGGTAGAGCACCAACCCAGCATCTCCTGGGTGGAGAAGACAAGCAAGCACAGCAAACTTGCTCCTCAGATGCATTGCTGGTCTCAGGGCAGAGGCGTTTTGAAGCACAGGAGTGGCTGTGTGTTCCCAGGGAGGTCACAGGATCTTGGCTTTTTACACTGGGAGAGAGCAGCCAGACTTGTTCTGTAGGACACAAGTAAGTGGTGAGGCTGGCCTAGGTCCCTCCCACTGCCAAGCCCTCCTGCATTCTCTCTGCCCTGCTTCTTTGTTTCCCAGTGTCTACACATTGAGGAACAAACACTGAAAGCTTTGGGTATCATCTGCCCCTCTGTTCCCCTCTGCAGTCCCCATCCCAGGGACCCCTCGATCTCAACAGAGTGGCTGTTAGGGGAGTTGTGGGAAGGTGTGGGGGGCTCTAGGCAGTCATTGCCTCCATCCTCGCAGCTGTGTGCTGAGTCTCCCTTGGAGCAGGGCGAGCTTGTCACAGCCTTGTCCTTCGTGGCCCTGCAGCTGCGTGGAGGCACACCTGCTGTGCCACCAGCGTCCTTTCTAGGTACACGTGTAGGAGGCCAGGCTCCCAAACTTCTCTAACTTCTCTGTCTTAAGGCAACTGAGCGCTAACCAGCTGCTCTGCCTCTCTGCAGGTGCGAGGTGGCTCTCGGGGAGTTCCTCAAGGAGATCAAAAAGAATCCCTCCAGTGTCAAGTTTGCAGAGATGGCCAATATCCTGGTGATCCACTGCCAGGCGGCAGGTGAGTGCGCAGGACCAAGGGATAGCACCTGCCTCTGGGTTTGCAGTGCTGACCGTGGGGCCAGGAGCTTTCCAATGGGCTGTTCACCAGCTCACCCACTTGCCACTTCTTTGTCATTGTGCATGTAAATTCTGCTGATGAAGGGTCTGGAGCATGGGTCTGATGGGGAGTGGCTGAGGGATCTGGGGGGGTTTAGTCTGCAGAAGAGGAGGCTGAGGGGAGGCCTCATGGCCCTCTACAGCTCCCTGACAGGAGGGTGCAGAGAGGGGGGTTGAGTCTCTTGAGCCAAGGAACCAGCAGCAGGACAAGAGGGAATGGCCTCAAGCTGCGCCAGGGCAGGGTCAGGCTGGCTCTTGGGAAGTATTTCTGTGCAGAAGGGGCTGTTGGGCGTTGGAGTGGGCTGCCCAGGGCAGGGGGGAGTCCCCATCCCTGGAGGGGTTGAAGAGTCGGGCTGACCCAGAGCTGAGGGATCTGGCGGAGTTGAGAATGGTCAGGGTGAGGTTCATGGTTGGACTGGAGGATCTTTTCCAACCAAGATTCTGTGAAAGGGGTGAACAGGCAGCTCTACCATGATAGACACGACTGCTCTTGTACTGTTGATCCCCCAGCCTCAAATACAGGTCTGGCATCCTCCTGAAGCAGAGGTGCCTGAAAATAAAATATCTGGCTGTGGGTGACACCTGTGGATATCCAGCACATCTAGAAGGATCTTCTTAGGGGCTTATCTCAACCTCTGGTGGCACTAGGTGCATAGGACTGTGAAACATGATTTGCCTGGCACTTGGTGTTAGTGCTGCACTGTAGATCCTGCAGGTCTGCTGTGTAGGCAGTGGCTGAGGGTTGCAGCTGCAGCTGGATGTGTTTCCTGAGAAAGATCTTGTCCTGGAGCTGTGCTCATCTGCTCTTTAATGGTGCTGAATGGAGTGGGTTTCTTGTGAGATGGAAAAATAGAAATAGACTGAGATTGCTTGCTCTTAATTAAAGTGATGCCCAGTGAATTTATGCTGTTTAAGTCTAAAATCTGGCCCTGCGTCGCTGACGGCCCCAGCAGTGCTCCCTTTTTTCCAGGATTTGAGGAGGTAATTAATAAAACCCCAGCTCTAGGGGTGATGCTTGACCCAGACACACAACTGCTATTAGTGTGACAGCAGAAATATCCTTATGCATTGGGAGGCTTGAGAGAGTACTTGCAAATGAGGAAACCTGTTTTATGGATTGAACTGGGTTAACTCTGAAACCTAATGATTGTGTTGAACCTTCAGTGAGACTGAGATTAAGGTCTACCTATCCCCTCTGGGACTGAACTGCCCCAGCCTAGGGTGTCTCTGGGTGGAGCATAGGCAACTCTCTGCTTGCAGCTGGTCCTTCACCAGCGGAGTTTGCTCAGCTGCCAGTGCTGTCTTTTCTCTCACCTTTGCTTGTTCCATGTCTTCCAGATGACCTGATCCAGCTGACAGCCATGTGCTGGATGAGGGAGTTCATCCAGCTGGCTGGCCGGGTGATGCTGCCTTACTCCTCAGGGATCCTCACTGCTGTCCTGCCGTGTCTCTCCTATGATGATCGCAAGAAGAGTATCCTTGTAACTGGGAGCTGCTCCCATTCCTGCTACAGCAACCTGCGGGGAAGCACCCGTTTCCTGCCTCTGGGGCGCAGGGCCAGTTGCACAGCTGGATAGGGCCAGGAGGAGTCCTCCCACCAAGTGCTAAAACCCGCTCCAGCCCTTTGGACGTGAGGGGGGTTGCTGTAGCTGGGCTGGGGCAGCCCTGGTGGGACTGCGGTGGCTTCTCTGTGGCTGGCCAGATGTGGCAGCTAGCCACATGTGGGACTGAGTGTTCCTTACACTGCCTGCACTCAGACATCAAGGAGGTGGCGAACGTGTGCAACCAGAGCCTGATGAAGCTGGTCATCCCAGAGGATGATGAAATGGATGAGGCCAAGCAGTCAGTGACCCTACTGGCAGAGCCCACCCCAGAGGAGTCTGTCTCTAATCCAGAAGTAGCGTCCAGTGGTGAGTTCCCATTGATCTGAGCCATCAGAAGTGTGAGGATGGTCAAGGGAAGGTCCTCAAGAAGTTGTTGTGTTGGTTTTGTGCCCTGCAGCAGTTAAGGGCACATAGGAGCTCCGTGCTTTCTTTGAGTCTTGGAGTTCTGTTTCACAGCTAATCCTGTGTTGAGACAGACACGTTTGGCACTGTCTGCATAGCATGGCACTGATCTGGCCCAGAGCCCAAGCAGTGCTGCATTTCCTGGTGAGCATCTCCGTCCCCTCACCATGCTTCGCTTCGAGGCAGTCATTAAATTGACCTGAAAAAGATGGTTTATAGTTAAACATTTAGTGTCGTGCTATATAACATGGGAAGAGAGTAGCCTACCTGTCCTGCAGTGGCTGGTTTGGGAGTTGTTACCACCACCCAGAGGAGAGCTCAGAGAGCTGTGTTAGTCGTGCGAGAGCATCAGTATGTGTGTGGAGGATACCTGTGTTGGGGAAGGGTAGGAAACAGAAAGGAGAAGAATTTTGGGTCCTTTCCAAATGGTGCTTTTGAAACCATCGTGTGGGTATTGTCCCAGTCCTAAAATTTCCAGAACAGGAAAAAGGCAAATGTTTGCAAGCAGGATGGGAGACCTGGAAGAGTGTTTTAAGTGAGAAGAAACTAAATGGAGAGCAGCCTGGTGGACTGAGGCCTGAAAACAGCAGTGGCTTTAGCCTTCCAGCATCCCTTTGATACTGTTGTATTGGGTTGACTAAACACTGCTTCTGGCCCATCTTTGTTGTCCAGGCGCGTGAAATATGTGTGACGTTTAAATCACATGGGCTGATCTGTTGTATTCTTCTGGGGCTGCATGTTCAGCCCAGTGCTCTTGTGTAACATGCCTGCAAGCAGTGTTTGAAAAATCCTGCTGTGGGAACGAGCGGGAGGGTGGGAATTAAAAGGCTGAAAGGTTTTCCTGTACAACAGCAGCCGCGTGGAAGGCGAGGAGGCAGGGAGCTGTGTGAGGCAGCAGTGTGCGGGGCTGGCAGGAGCAGGCAGCCGGGGTGGGCAGGCAGCACGCAGGGCAGCACTGGTGGCTCAGCGGTAGAATTCTCACCTGCCATGCGGGAGGCCTGGATTTGATTTCAAGCCAATGCAGCAGCTTTTTTGGAAGGGCTGTAGGGGAAAAATGTAGTGCAGCAGCAAAAAGTTTTCTTTTTTATTCCTTATTTGTCCCAAGAATACCTCCTTTTATTAAAATCTATTGCAGAAGAGCTTTAGAACATTCAACAGAAACTTTAATTGCCTGAATCTCTACTCCTTTGGGGTTGGACTGTACCTTGAAGCAGGCAGGATCAGATCAACCTGTGATGTTTTCACCTCACAAACCCTCAGCTCTGCTCCCTGGTTGTGCTGATGTGGTGGTGCCTCTGTGCATGAGTAGAGACTGTTGGCACAAGGGAGCATGAAGATTGGCACAAGGGAGCATGAAGAGTCAAGTTCATCCTGTCATGCTTTGTCACCATGCTTTTAAGACCCAGTTTCAGCATGGAACAGAGGTTGGAAAGCTGTTTGGGTCACTTGGCTTTCGCATGAAGTCACGCTGCAGGAGAGCTGGCACTGTGGAGATCTCCTGGGTTGAATTCAGCCTTTCCTGTGCTTGTGTGGTATCTCTAGGTGTTGAAATCTAGACGGAAGGCAGCTGAAACCATCGGGATGTGTCTGGGTCTCCTTTGCAGAGGAGGAAACCCAGCTTGGGGCAGACTTCTGAAGCTGTGCAACCTGCATTTTACCAGGAAAGTGCAGTCCTGTACCAGCTTTGTCCAGTACCTCTGGCAGTGGAGAAGAGCTTGACAAAGAGTGTAAAATGCTAACTGCAGGCAGAAGGGATCCATGGGGTCCCCAGAGCCTCAGGCAATGGCTGATGATGTCCTTGCAGAAGGTCACACAGCTCTCCAGCCTCCCAGTCCTGCTCTCTGCCTTCTTCCATCCCACTAACCGTGCCTCCTTTTTATCTGTCCCCCAGGCTCTCTGGATGCATCTGGTGACTCCAACTTCAGCAACAGCAGTGTCTTCACAGTAACCAGGTAGGGTCTGTTGCTTCAGCGTGACTTGAGAACAAGGGAAGGCTTCTCAGGGTAGAGACAATGACTGACAGGTGCTTACAAAGCATCAGGGAGGGCTGGCTTGGGCTGGAAAGCACTTGGGGTCTCCTGGGTCACAGTGGGATAGATGGTTTGGGATGCTCTAGGAGTTGACCACTTCTCTCTGTGTTTGCACCAAAATGTCTTGACTTTTTTTTTTTTTTTTTTGGTGTTTTTCCCCCCAGGAGGCCTTGCAAAGCCCCTAGGGCAGTCTGGTGAGGCAGTGAGTGTCTCTGCACTTGGGATTCTGCGTCTCGTCTGTCTTCAAGCCCCCAGGTTGGGCACTGTGGCTTAAAGATAGAGGGAAGGTGGAGAGAGGATGGTTGCCTTGGTCATGGTTCTTCCAGCTTGGCCAAAATAGGAGGCATTTGGTTCCTTCCTACCTTTCCAGAGAAATGGAAGTAGAGGAACAGAGGTGTGCTAGTCTGCCAGAGGTCCAGAGAACTCGGGAGAAGGTGGTATGTTAACTGTCTGGGGCTGGCAGAAGAGCTTGGAGAGCACTTGACCCTGTTTCTCCATGCTGCAGCCCTCTACCGCAGTCCTGGCAGCCCACCATGGCACGGTACTGTGGGGCTGCTCCTGCAGCCGTGCCATCCAGCTCCAGCCACTGGAGAGGCAAGGGGTCTTGGCAGTGTTTGCTGCCAGCCTGTCCCCCTGTCAGCCTTGTGTGGCATTAGTCAGCACAATCTCTCCCAAGATCTCATCTAAATCATCTCTCCTGCAAATAGCTTTCCTCCCATCCAGCCTTCAATGAATCTGGGGACAAATCCATCTACTCTTATAATGCATCTTTCCTTTCCTTTTGCTGCCTGCAGTTCTCTTCCTCAGAGGTCGTGATTTCCAACAATTTTATTGTGCTGATGTGTATGTTTATTTGTTCTTGTGGGCTCCAAAATAAGATGTGTTACTCTAGCTGTATCCTACCAGCGAGGCTAATGTGTGATGCCCATCATAACACATCACAGAGCTTTTCAGCTTAATGGTTTGTATCCTCTGTTCCTTTTTTGCAGTCCTGCGAAGCCCAGCTACTCCCTGCTCTTAATGATGCCCTTGATTTTTTCTTCTCTTGAAAGTACAGGTCTTTTCATTTGTGCCTAGATTATGTTTTATGGCTGTTAAATGTTTTTTCCTGGCTTTCCCGTGATCACTGTGTCCTGGCCCTGCTCAGCCATTGAAGTCTAGCGGGTACGGGAGTAGGCATGTGTAGGGCTGAAGTTGGGAAGGGAGAGAATGCCGAGTTCAGGAGGACAAGTATAACTGCAGGTCTGTGCTTGAAGAGCTTGCACCTGGGGGAGAGAGGGAGTGAAGACCAAAGGGGGACAGAAGCAGGGAGAGCTGGAGTGACTTGGTCACAGTGTCACTGAGAGCCAAGAGGAGAATCGCTGCCCAAGCTGAAGCAGTCTGCTAGCTCCCCAAGTGCCAGGGAAAACCATCTGGGACAGTGGGAGACCCCTTGTGTCTCTAAGAGACCTGGTTTTGCAGAGGGACTTGTTCTTGAGCAATCCTAAGCCCTTTTAAACAGGACACTCCAGGTTTTATCCTGGCATTTACCTGCCCTGAAGCTCATTTCTCCATCTGTGTGACCTCTCTGCTGGTCCCGTGTCAGGACCTGCAGCATCTTTGCTGTGGCACCTGTTACGGGGGACTGGCATGGTGTTAGGGGGCTGTACATGGCTGACAGGAGCCCTGGACATCTGCCTGGTGCTCCATCTATTGCTTAGGCTGTCTAGCTCGGCCCTGGAGCCAGAGGAAGGCAGGAACTGGCACCCGGAGCTGGTTGCAGCCATAACTCACACAAGGGAGCAGGCAGCTGCTTGCATGCTGAATGCCCACTGGGTGTCAAGACAGGACCACAGGAAACCGTTGCGTCGCTTTGAAAATCTGGAAAGCCTGCAAACGGAGGAAGTTGCAGCTGCCTTTTAAGATGAAGTCACTCTTCGCTTGTGTTTTTGTTCATCCCCCCCTCCGCCCCCTGCTTCCCCCAGTCTCCTCCGGTGAGTGAGTGATGCAGCATGGCCTGGCGCCAGGCATCCAGCTCTCACGCCCCCTTCTCCTGCCCTCCCCACGCAGCCGTCTGCAGAGGGAGAGTGCTGCAGCAACGGGGAAAGGAGGAGGACCTCGGTCAGCAGGGGCGGAGGAGCTCATGGCCCGGCATCTGCAGAGAGATGTCTTCCATGAAGATGCCATCCAAGAAGATGACGAGATCTGAATGCTTGATAGATGAATGCTGGGCGCGTTCCTATGGCCACAAACTGACACATGCACCCCCAGGCTCCTAAAACATGCTGTCGGCAATCCAGAATGCTTTCAGGGTAACTGCCAGCTTCCTGGTGGCATTCACTGGGAAATGGGGACTGTGTCTGTGCCAGGACAGAAACTGGCTCCTGGGTGAGCCTGACTGCACAGGGCTGGGGGGGGTCCCCATGCAGGTGGTGGTCCCCACTTTCAACTTCTGCAAAAGCCATCATTGGAAGTGAACCAGAACTGTGTTCCAGAGGTGCTGGAGCCGTCCTGTGGCCTCACTGACCCTGCCAATGCTGCAAGCGCTGGTGTGAGCCCGGATCAGGAAGGGGAAGTGGAAGTGTGGCTGCTGGAGCAGAGCCCGGCCTTCCTTCTGTCGGTCTGAGCTGCTGCAGGAGAAGATGCAGATGTTTGTCCTGTGTTGCTGGACCAAAACAGCTGGGAAGTGCCTTTTAGGCTTTTGTAACTGCATTGGTGTTTCAACACAAGACCTGGATGGTTTGAGACAACTTCCTAACCATAGTGCCAGGCAGATGGTCAGGCACGGCTGGCTAGTGGTCAGCAGGGCTGCCCACGTTGGATGTGTGGCAGTTGGACGAGGATGATGGGACCACAGTCCCTCACCAAACTAGAAAAGGGGTATGGAGGCTTCAAAAGAACCTATGTGATCCTTCCTGATGCAAGGAGGGCTTCTTGGTTTGGGTGGTGGTCAGCAAAACATGGACACCTAAAGCTGCTTGTTGCTCTGTAGAAAGGATAAACAGCTGCCACATGGCTGAACTGCCCGAGGCTTCGTTTAAATCGGACTTTTAAACATGGTAATTAGGGCTTTGTACAAAATGAAAATTGCTCCTGCTTGTGCTGGAAGCCACCATAGCCTCATGTCCAGAGCCTGGTGCACCTTGGGGATGCAGCCAGTGAGCTGGGGAGCTCATGGAGGTGATGAACACTTGGGGTAGGGATGGTGCTGGGTGCCCTGCAGCACCCAGGGGACAGCTGGCTGAGGGCATCATGATGGCTTAGTTTGAGCTCATGCACCAAGCCAACCTTGGAGTCCCATTCTCCAGCAGCTTGTCTGGTGTAGTCTGCCTTGCTGCAGCTTTCAGGTCCAGACTGTCCCCTCAGGAAGACTCCTCCTGACCCTCCTCTCCAACCTGGAGCAAGGAGATGGGTTCACTTCACTGCTCCCACTGCGCCATGGGGTGGATGAGCTGGAGGAGGACCTTAGGCACACTACTGCAGCCCCCTTGTCACAGTCATCTACAGGTCGTTGGACTGGATGCCTCTGCCTAGACTTTAGCCTCATTGCTTCCCCAGGAGATCAGCTTGCGCCGGTGCTGTGGGCACTTCCAGTACTTGGAACCTACAGTAAGCAGGAGGAAGCCAAGAGTGCCAAAATAAGAATGATGGAGGATGAGAAAGCGACAGCTTGTGGGACTGATAGCAGAGAGGAGCTATTTACCTCCTGGCCGCTGGCTCGACCCCATTGAGCAGCACAGCTGCCAGCCCGTATGGGAGCTACTCTTGTGACTTGGACCACAATGAAAGGACCTGGATATTTTCACCCTTGGCAAGGCCGCTTAAAGGCTAGAGCCTGGCCTAGACCTTAACCTTGTCTGAAAATGGGGTCAGGAAAGCAGCTGGGCTGGGCAGGAGGCCAGGAGAGAGATGACAGTTCAGGCATTGGCAGAGAAGAGGCAACTGCTGAGGAGAGAGATGGCAGAAGCCCTTGAAGAAAGGGGAGAAATGAGAAAATGAGTTGATAAGGGACACAAAGTGAAAAACATCGCTGTGGGTTGAACACAGTGGGAAAGTGAGCTCTGTTCCCGTGCTGGAGGATGCTTTCTGAGAAGGAGGTATGTGCTGAGGGGTGGGTCTCCTGCCCTACCACTCAGCTTGAGCAAAAGGTGCCAGTATCCAGAGGTGAGAGCCTGGTACGACTCCCATTGTTGGTCAGTTCGCCCTAAAAACATGCTCCCACCATCACAGGCAAACCACGGAGGCGGCGTCAGGTCTGTGTTCATCCTCCGGAGAAGAATCTGGGGTAGTGGGTTAGATGGAAGCGATTGCATCTGACATCTGCCCTGCCACAGATGCCGGTGCTGGGAGCTGGCGTGGCAGGCCCAGAGGATCCCCTTAACACGGTGCTGGTACTGCTGCTCCCACTCCACACTGCCTGGGGATTAAGGAGAGCCAGGGTGAGCTACAAGCCCGCTTCAGAGCTGCAACCATGGCAGCTCTTGCTGTGCTCAGCCGCTGCCTTCCCCCCTGGAAAGGCAGCAGCCCAGGGGAATCTGGTGCTGCTCCATCCTGGAGGCAGAGGAGCACAGTCAGTTGGGAGATGTTTAGCCTAATTCCACGTGTTTGTCAGAGCTCTTGCCTTTCGGGAGGGTGCTCTGGTTTTGTGCTGAGTAAATGAGCTGCTTCTCCACTGGCAACCCGCCCTAAAAGGTTTATCTCAGCAGATGTGGGGAGAGGATAGCCGGCGAGGAGGTTTGCCAGCCACCTTCCACTTTAGCAGGAGCTGAGCCCGGCAGAGCTGCAGGGCAGTGGTGTGTGGTAGGGCTGGGGTCTGCCTGACTTGAGGTGAGCCCGACACTGCTAGCCACCTCCTGGGGTCAGATCAGGTGGATTTTGACTTGGGCCACCCAGACTCTGCCCAAAGCCCACTCCTGTACAGGTGCTGCATCACTGGGGAAGGGGGTTTTCATGAGCAACTTTGGCACAAGCCGGGCTGGAAATGGTGTGTTGATGTGCTGTCAGCAGTCCATCATCCTCCTCTAATGATACCACCCCGTGTCCTCCCTGCCTGCATTGCAGCAGCGTGGAGCTGCTGGATGTGACAGCATCGAGGCCACCTCCAAACCGGCCGGCTTCACGCACCTCTTCTCTGTGCCATCCTTTCAGCTGCTTCCCCCTGGAAACACACAATACCCTCAAGTTCTTTCCCCATCCTTCACAGACAATGCGTATTTTGGCATGGAGGTGTAACTGGGTCGAGGATTCATGCTTCTTTTCCATCAGGAGCCCCGTGCTGCGTGGCTGACTGGCTGCACCACTACAGCAGGAGCTGGTTTTGCAGGAAAACCAGATACAGGGCTTATTCAGGCTGGCTTAAATGGCCTGGGACACTGCTCCCTTGGACATCTCCTCTCCCAAACTTCCCATGCTCTGGGTTCCTCCTTCCCCTTGCTTCTGCACATCTGAGCATTTGGCCCTCAGCTGTTGTTTGCAACATCAAAGCAAAACTTAGTCCAACTCAAAATGCAATTTGCAGACCCCAGCATCTGTTATGTGAGGAAGATCAAGCATTCTGATATCTGCAGGACTGTGAGGGGCTGCAGCTTCCTCGTCTCGCCCTTAGAATGCGTGTCCTGGGGAAGATCAAATCCTATTAAGCCGCAGCTCTACTTGCAAATTATACCATGAGAAATCTGCCCCTTAGGATTTCTTATCAAACAAGACACAGAGCAGCTCTGCGTGCGCTAGAAAAAACGTCAAGAGTCTGGTTCAGCCTTGAATAATTCAGTAGCTTGGGTAGGACGGGAGTGACTTAGCTCTTCAGTGCAGCTACCTCTTGGAGGTCTGCTTCAACCATCTTGGCTCTAACCATCTCTCCTTAACGTAGTGTCCTGTGACAGATAATTCCCACATCCTTGCTGTTGGAAGACATGGGAAACCATCAGGTAGACCTCGGGATTACAAACAGGACAAAAAATGCTGTGACATGACCTCTCCTTCATTGGGGTCACCTGTCCCAGTGCTGGCCTCAGCTGTGTCGGGGAAAAACTGAGGAGTTTTTCACCATAGTAAGAGCTAAGGGTCTTCAGGCTGTTGGTGTTATAAAAGAGGCAATGTCCAAGTGAACTAAGGGCGTTGTTTGCTTTCTTCCCTGGTTGGTGACCAAGAATTATCCTTGTATTTTGGGATGGCTTTTGGGAAACAAGATGATGTTCTCGAGGTGTCCCGAAAACACTGCCAGCCAGGGCACCATCTGCAGTCCTCAGCACGAGTCTGCTGGGATTAGTGGAAACTGGATATCCTCAACTGGTTGGGTGGCCTCAACTAGTGGAGTTTGAGGACACGTGGGTTGGTGCTCTCTGGAGATGTTTGAGCAGGTCAAACTTGAGTTAGATTCTGAGTGCATTTTATGGATCTCTAGTTTTTGAATCCCAAGCCTGGTGACTGCAATACAGACCAGTTTCTCAACACAGCCATGGTACTGGATTCATCTAGCATGATGTTTTGTCGTGTGTAGGTAGTAGCTGTTTTGGGAAAGTGGTAGACCTTCAAGCTTGGAAGATTTCTGTTGTTTCCAAAGCAAGCTTCTGGTTGCTGTGTCTCTCGTGGTGCTTCCCTATCTGGTAATGCCAATCAGAAGCTACTTATGCCACATGGGCAAACCTGGCCAGCCTGGAGCTTGTTTCTTGGCTGTCATAAGCCTTGATGATGTGAACACAGTTGTTGGGTTTGCCATGAGCAGATCTGGATGCATGGAATAAGAAGCATGGGGGGCCAGGCTGAGTGGGGCAGGAGCAGGCCAAGGAGACAGTTGAGGTTTCCTAGGGTTTGAGCTGTTTGATGCAGCCTCTGGTGTGTTAAAGACCTCCCCACTGTGGGAGAAGTGAATTGGACAATACAGCACTGAACTAACCTCTCTCCTTTCCATGCAGCTCCGAGAGGATCCAGGTGACCCTGAACCTGGATGGAATAGTTCAGGTGCTAGACTGCCACCTCCATGACACATCCATTGGGATGATGACCAGAATTGCAGTCCTGAAATGGCTCTACCACCTGTACATCAAGACTCCTCGTAAGGTAGGTTAGGGACTCGGCCTGTGAGCCTGCTGCTTCCCCTGTGGGACTGAGCTTGTCCACTCCCAGCCTGCTCCTTGCCTTTGAATTAGCTGTAATTATCTTGGGAGCACTTCAACCAAGTGTCCACCTGCCTTCTCTGAGGCGGCTTTGCCTGCTGGTTACCCAGTAGCTTAAGGAAGAAGAGCTCTCCAGATCAGATGGAAAATGCTGGTGAAGCTTTCAGCAGCTTCCCGTGGGGCAAGGGGTCTTGTGGCAGGGGGTGACCAGGCCTGTAGGACTGATGCCAACCATATTTCTGGTTCTAGATGTTCCGACACACTGACAGCCTCTTCCCCATCTTGCTGCGAACCCTCTCAGATGAGTCAGATGAGGTAAGTGCTGCAAAAGTCCTCCTTACTCTCTCCACATCTAGCTGGGCTTTGGATTTTTTGGCTTGAAAGCAAGGGATTTTGTGAGGCCTGGCCAGTGTTGGCACTGGGGAGTTTAGTCCTCTTGGCTAAACTGAAAAAGACCCAACGTGGAGCCTGCATATAGCTGCCTGGCTGAAGGCCCTGTTGTCTTGGTTAGACTGATGTGTTTGGGACCTTCTGTCTATATAAACCTTCCTCTCCATCTTTGAGAGCTGATCCTTCAAAGCCAGCTCCTAAAAATTGTTTTTTGCCTGCCTGGGAGGACAGGTGGGGCTTCCAGTTCCAGAGCTGGTGCCTTTCCCATTGGACTGGTTCGTGGTCAGATCCTTGGTGAGTGGGAATTCGTATGCCTTGCAACAGCTCTCTAGGGATGTGAGGGGGATTGTGTCCAGCCAGCACTGCAAAATCCAAGTCATGAGGCGGTTAAGCAGCACCCACCACAAGCGGGGCAGCATCAGCATTGCCTGGTGGGGCTGCAGTAGATGCCCAGTGGCATCAAGCTGCCTGGGAACCGCTTGGCTTTGAAGTGAGCAAAGAAAATCAGGCAGCAATGAGTGAGTCAGCTTGCTCTGCCTTCACCTTACCCTCCCAGTGCAGTGCTCTTCATCTCCCAGGCTGCTCCCTTCCCAAGGCACTACACCATTTTCCGATTTCCTCATCTTTTTTCCTTACTCCTCTTTTCTGCTTCCAGTCTTGTCAATTTTGGCGTCTTTGGTGTCTTCTCCCCCTCTTCATTGCACCCTGGAGCATTTCTAGTGCTTGGGTGGGAGGCTGGCAGCTTCGGCACCCAGCTGGCCCAGACACTGGTAGCGCTTCTACCATCAGCTGGATACCTCTTGCCCAGAGCTGTGAATGATCCTGGCTGGTGTCTCAGCCCAGACCTTCCTCGTGGAATAAAAATCATGTGCTATCTGCTTTGCTTTACATGCTTAGGGCATCAAACCCCAACCCTGCAATAAATCCCATGTGCAAGGGGGTCGTTAGGAGAGGAGGACAGGGAATAAGCAAGCAAAGGAATGACTTGCAAAGGCAAGCGACTCCCTGGCCATTTTCCATACCCTGCTGCTTACAATGCAAACCTTTCCAAAAGAGTCCCCAAGCACACATCTGCCTTTGCAACACTCTAGAAAGCCTGCATCTTGCAGATAGTCTCTCCAGCTTGGCAGGAGATCGCAGTGAGTCATGTTGCAATTACACTGCTTATTAATATTTGAAAAAAGCAGTGAAGAAAGGACCCTGGTGATGCATTTCCTCCATGTGACATAACTGGGAATGGCTCAAAAGTAATTTTAAGCTGATTTATTTAATCCTGTCTTCTATTTATTTAAATGTTTGTAGCGGGGTTTTTTTTTAAGGAAATCCATAGACGAGTCAATCCATTAAACACCACTGCTCAGCTGGCTCCCAACCAGATCTGCTGCTTTTTGCAGAGGAAATAGAAATGACCGAAATAGTAGGGGGATTTTGAGCTGAGCATTTTTGGGAACAATGTCAGTGCCTATTAGAAAAGGGGACACGGGGTGCTCTCTTAACCCTTACTCACTGCTCAGTACAGTAATTATATGCATATTCACGTTGTTCTAGAACAGATCAGGATCCCCAGAAGCTCTTGGCTAATGGGCTGCAGGTCACCAGGTTAGTGTGGGATCCTATGTGTGCTAACCCATCAGCTCTCTTAACGAGGAAGCATCTCCCTCCCCTTTCCCGGTAGGACTCCACACATTGTGTGGTGTAGCACATGGTGTACACACATCTTCAGTGAGGTTTTTTTGCTGTCTTCATTCTGTGGTGCTGCTCCCCCAAGGGAGCCTGGCTGTGCAGCAGTGTCAGTGCCATCTTTCTTCCCAGCAAGGCTGAACATCCTTTTGCAGTGCCTGCAGATCCCCTGGCCCCCATGCACAGTTTGGAGGCCAGCTGTTGCTCTCTTGATGTGCTCTGAAACTCTTCTGGAGCAGTTTCTTCTCACTAGCTCATCACCAAAGGGGAATCTGGCTTTGGAGGGTCCGTACTAGTCAGGGCTTTGCATCAGACTGAAAGACCGTGCTCAGGCACCTTATTTTTAAGGTCTGGTCTTGAGCTGCTCCAAGGCTCTCTGTGCACTTGCCATAAACAATCAAGCCCAAAGCAAGGAGAGACTTGTGCTGGATGGAGCCAGATCCATGTCCTTTAAGTTGTCACGCGTTTTTATCATTAAAGTAGCACAAGGTGTTGCTCCACCTCCACCGTGCTGAACAGGGGCCAGTATCTTCATGATGCATCTGTGGTGTCCTGAGTCATCTCTGCCTTCTCTCCTGTTCCTCTTCCTACCCAGTTCTCCTGTGCCAGTAAAGAAATGGTCAAGACACCTCGTTAAGATTCACAAAGGCAGCTCAGAGAAGTTGGAGGGAAGCTGAAGCAAGCAGTTCCCTTTGATATGTAGACAAGTCGGGATACAGGATTCCTGGCTGTCAGATGCCGTACTGCTGCACTGCGTCACCTCGTGCTGGTTCCTGTGCTTCCCCAACAGGGACATGCTCCGTCCTGCATTTGAGACCTGGTTTTGAAGGCAATCTTTAAAAGCCCTGGTTAAAATTTGATGTGCTTAAAAACTTCCTGCAAGACTTAACAAGGTCCTGCTGGAAATGTTTGGGGGTTTTTTTGCACAAGCTGCTCCTTTCATCGGTGTGAGTCTTGCAGCCCTGATAACCTGATTGGAGAACTGATGTTAGAAAAGGTGAAAAGTCAAAGCCCCAGCACCCTGTGGGAGCAGTGGGTTAGACCCTTCCACCCACAGGTTAAAAGCACTGCTGCTGGGAGGGATTGCTGAAAAGAAGAGCTGCTCCTTGGGTCATCTCCCTCTGCAAGCTCCTGGTACAAAAGCTGTTCCTGATGTAGCTGTCCAGTTCCCTGGGATCTTCCCAGTTGGAGCCAAGTGCTGAGTTTAGTTGGACCCAAGAAGTAGTGAAGGCATCTCTGAGAAAACTGTGAAGCAGTGACACTGCTGGTTTTCTGTCTTTGCTTTGTTTTCCTTTCTCCGGCTACAAAATGGAGTTATTTCTTTATGGCTGAACATGTTCCTGTTTGCTTATCTGCTCTTCTTAATCTTGCTGGGGGTTAGAAGTTGTGCTGGGACTTTAGTCTGACTCATGCAGGAATGACGCATGAGGTGAAACTGGTGTCTGATGTGAAGCAGGATAGTCTTTGGCTTCCTCTCAACTCTGCTAACGTGAAAACCTACCTGCGTTGATGCAGGGGCCAGTCAAGGCTTTGAATACAGCAAGAAGATCCAAATTATTTCTTAGCTTGCTGTTTGCAGCTGTATCTCCTAGAACATCCCTCAGAAGTCTGCTCCTGGCACTGTACAAGAATTGATACCCTTTCCTAGAGAGGGTTAGCTGAGCCTGGGCTACCGTTGTCCCTGGAGGTAGTGATGGACTCAAATGTCTGCATGACCTTCAAGTCAACTTCTCCATGACAAGCTGAAACATTTTGCCCTCCTCTTGCGTTTCCAGTATTAAACTAGAAGAGAAGGAACCCCAGGTATGATGGTATGCTGGTATTGCTCTCTCTCCGTTGCTGTTAACTCCTACACCCCTCCTGTGTGTCCTGCAGCACCGCAGGGTTTCTGCCCTGCCCTCTGAGCCCTGCTGTTTTGCTAAATCCTGGTGAACTTCTCCCATTGCTCCTGATTCCCAGTACAATGAAGCTGAACAAAAGCTTGTGCCAAAGCGAATAGCTGTCTTAGTGTGGTTTGGTTTGGAGCTTTGCTCTGTTGGTTTTAGACCCATTTGTGCTCCAGCTCTCAGCCTTTAATTCGCCACTCAAAGCTACAAGGTACCGAAGCAGGGAGGCTACTTGTTTTCAAGAGGGAAGTTACACTGAGCGTGAGCTTAGGACTGAAATGGTGGGGTATAGAGAGAGGTATATAATTTCGGTTGGATGGTGGAAAATGTGGGCAGCCCAGTTTGCCATATGTGGAAGCAGCCCGTAAGCAGAAGTCTTAAAGCAGGGTGGGGTGATGCTTTCTCCAAGGACTCGAGGCATTTGTAAGGGCACTGGGTTGAAAGATAATCTGTGTGCTGTGTTGTGCAGGAATGGGAAGATTCCTGGGGGGAGGGTGATCCACAGGGAGCTGCTTGGCTCAGCACCAGTTCTGGACCATAATTGCATGGCCTGCGTATACATGTGCAACCACAGTTTATACGTATACTGAATGACGAGTGGTAAGCTGGCAGTCTGGGCTCAAGGTGGTGCTTGTAGCATTCCTGGGTGAAATCATAGAGCAGACTAAAACCCCAGAAAACCTGTCTGCTGCAGAGGACAGGCAATCCCTGTCCTGGGGAGCTGGCTCAGAGTGAGTCCAGGGTGGGATGAAGGTGTAGGATGCAGGATTTGGTGAGCTTGGCTTTGGTTTGCCTTGCTCTCCAGGATGTGGAAGTGCTGGATGGGAGGCAGGGTAGCAAATAAGAGCAAACCCTTTGCCTATCATAAGTGCTGGGACTCTGAGTGCTGAATTTGAAAGGGTTGAAGGCATCCAGTCCCCCACAGCCTGGCCCACAGCGATGCTCCAAGGCTGGAGCTTACTCCAGCCTCATCCCACTGGCTGGACCTGTCCTGCCTCCTCCCCTGCCCTCTAATACATGAAGAAACACCTCCTTGGCATCCTGCCCTGCAGCTGGCATCAGGTGGTGCATTAAGCTCCCCGTATGCTAATTAAACACATTTAAAGAGGTGCTCTGAGCTGTGACAGTGCTTGTGCTCCTGCTGCTCAGGATGCTGCAGGCCTGGCCCTCACACACCCAGCAGCAGGGACAATGGGGGATTTGCAAAAGCGGGAGGGAGGATGGGGAGTTTTCAGGTAGCAGCTTGGTTCCATGTGATTGTGGCTGTATTACCAAGTGAACCCCCCACTGCCTGCTGTATTCACTGATGTTGTGAGTGTGGGTTAGCACAACCCATCAGGATTTGCACTGGGGAGGAGAGGAGAAGCCCCCAGCCCTGCTGTCTTCTTTCTGCTCCCTTCCCAGCTGCAGGCTGAAATCCAGTGGCTGTAAAGGGGGGGGGAAAAAAAAAAAAAAAAAAGGTCTTGGCAAGATCAGAGGATGAAAGTTGGTGTGCTGGGGACCTGAAAAGAGGTCCAGTTAAATTAGTGTGGGAAGATTAATGGTGGTTTTTCTTTTCTTTTTCTGTCTTTAAAGCTGGTGGAGGCGGGGGACACGCAAGTTTGCTTTTCACATTGTGTGTCTGGGGCTTGGCCAGTCTTGCTGCTGGCTGCTCTTGGCTCTGAGACTGCCTGCCCATGCTCGCCTCTCCTCCCCTGGCTGCAGCTAAAAGGTTTGGAGGGCTTGAAAAAAATAAGATTAATTAAGCCCTCTGGGGAAGCCTCGGTGCCTGCTGCAGCGGCAAAGGGCTGCATTTGAGTGGCAGAGCAGGAGGAAGCACCCAGCAGCATCCTCAGCTTTCCTGGTCCCTACCAGGTCATGCCTCCAGCCCCCTACCTTGCCAGTCCTGGTAATGCTGTGGGGTTTTCCACAGCCTCTCTGATCTTGGTCCTGTTTGAAGACGTGCTTTGCAGCCCTTAACCTTCTTGTTTTCCATCTTGGTAGCATCTTGCTTCAGCCGAATTCCAAATCTTCTCCTGGGCAAGAATAACCTTGTCCTTGGTGTTGAGTCCCCCATTTCACTGCCCAGGGAATACCCACACTCTGGGACATCCCAGGCCACCCTTGAGCTTCAACCTGCTGCTCACAGGCATTTTAATCTGTTCACTTTTTTTTTTTCTAAGCTTTTCCATAAATACCAGCAAGGAGAGTGTCTTCGGGAGCTCAGTCCCTATCCTTGCCCTCATGTGTACCCCAGGAGCTGCAGCCTGCGCTGGTGTCCTGGTAGTCAGTATGTGTTGCAGGGTGCTGAGTCTCACTCCGTCGGGTCTGCAGTGGATGTGGGGTCACCTCCCCTTCCTGGGAGGCCCTAACCCCAATGTGCTGGGGCCAGCCCAGCATTTTGGCAAGAGGCAAATTGCTTGCCAAGAGCATCAAGGCGATGCTTTTCAGGCAGGAGATGTATCCCATCTGGCACAGACCATTCGGGGGCTGCTTTTCCCCTGCGCTGTCGCCAGCAGAGCTGGTCTCGGCTCCGTTCAACCAGAACGAGCGGCAAATTAACCTGACCTAGATCTGGAGAGGCCAGAGAGACTGACAGTTTTCTGTGCCCTCAAAATCTCTGCTCTGAAGGCGATACAGGGAGAAATCTTGCCTATTCCCAGAGAGGAGAAATAGCAAATTATTTATAACTGTCTGATAACCTGCTCCTCATCCCCAAGCCGTGCAAAGAGCTTGCCCCTCTCTGTGCTGCTCTTCGTCCCTGTGCTGGGAGAGGCTCGTGACAGCAGCTGGGTCTCCCCATTCACCATGACACTGCTTCCCCTGCTCCTTCCATTCCCACTAATCCCCCAACTTGCCTGGAGCAGTGGCACACCACCCTACATCTCATCCCCATGGGGAAACCTTCACAGAAATCCCTTCTGGGCCAGGAAAATATCCTCAGTGGCTGTTCCTCCAGGCTGGCCATTGCGATCGTGCCTTCACCGGGCAGCTGGGAATGGCTCCGGCCTTGTGCTCCCGGCACTGTCAGGTCTGACGGCCACTCGGCTCCTGACGGATGGGACCAGCTCGCTCCTGGCGCAGCCAGCCCGTTGCCATGGCAATGGCAGGATATTGCTTTCTTACAGCCTCCTCACTTGCACAAAGCCAGCCGCCAGCTAGCTTTGCTTAGCGCAGGGATGTGCAGCGCATACCAAGCGCTCCTGGCTTTCCTCCGTCCCTGGCTGGGAACCCACTCCAGAGCATGCGGGGAAGAAGCAGCAGGAGCTGGAGCTTCCTGCCTCTTTCCCACGGCTGGAAAACCCTAGGCCTTCATGGCTGCCTGCTCCTCCTCTTCCTCCAGGTGTTTGTGCACCTGTCCCTACTGCTTCTTATTTCCTTCATGTTTTTCAGTCGTAAAATCCAGCCCATGCTGCTTTTTCCATCTCCTGCTTGTGACTTACGTGGCTGGCTTCTGGGGACACCCCTTAACATCCCCAGATCTCGAGAGATCCAGCCATGCCCTTGGTGGCGCCAGTCACTGCTGCCCAGGCAGCCTGGCAGGAGCATCCTGAGCACAAGCAGCATCTCCGAGATGGAGCTTGACACCACCTCAGAGGTCGAGCTGCGCTGGGATGTTGAATTAATGATCCGACTTCACAGTCTCTAAATGCTTTGAGAGGCAGCAGGGGTGATTTTTTGCCCAGCCAAGGGTCTTGATCCTGTTTCCTGATGGAACTGCTGGTGAAGTCTATGCTGCACGCTAGCCTAAACGCTGGTCTGGGTGAGAGGGCTTGGGAAGGGGATCGGGGCAGCAGGAAATGCAGCAGGGTGGCAATCACAGGCGGCTGGTTCATGCAGTGCGTCATCCATGTGTTGATACAGCCTTGGCATGATAGGATACCTTAGCCTGGTTGTGCTGGCATGTGTGCTGGGCTCAACAAAATCAGTAGCCTGAACAAGAGTCCCTACGCTCGCCTGCCTGCCAGCCCTTGTAGTCAAGCCCTGAGTCTCTTCGCCAGTTTTAGCCAAAGACAATGAGACTTGGAAACCTCCATGGGTGTAATTTCTCCAGCTGCGAGAGCTTGAGACCCCAATTAGTGCCTTCCCTGCTTGAAGGCTGCAAGTTCAGCTGAGCTGTGTGATTAGCCACTAGAGAATCTACACAGGCCTTCAGGAGACCTGGCTTTGTGAGCTCTGCTCAGGGGCATCCTCCACTTGAAACAAAGTGCTGCCAGTGTTGGTTTATCTGAACCACCAGTGCTTGGAAGCCCTGCAAAGTTGGGCAGAGAGGGAGGACCAAGGTCTTTTCTCTGCTGCAGACTGTGGCATCGCTTCCTTGGAAGGGGATGAAGGCTGGTGATGGCAGTGGCGTCCCATGATGCCAATGAGGTCCCATCCTTGACAGCATCACGCAGCTGCTGTGTTCTTCAGGGACATCAGCACCTCCTCGTTACATAAGTTGTTGTTATCTTATGTTTTTTCAGCCTTGGGAGAGCTGTGGGCTGGGACTTACTTGTGTTGATAGGCACAGAGTCTTCCCAAGTGTGCTGGAGCCTCGTGGTGCTCATGGCAGGCTGCTTCCCCATGGCCAGCTATGCACCAAAGCCTGGACACCTTGCTGCCTGGTCAAAGGCTGCTTGAGGGCTTAAAAATCAGCCCTAATTACAAAAAAAAAAAAAAACAAACAAACAAAAAAAACCAACAAAAAAAACCCCAAACCAAAACAGCTTAAGATGCCTGCAACAGAGAAACTCAGGGACTCCTTTCTGATTTTCAAGGGTCATATTTTCAAGTTCTGCATGATTAAAAAAAGATGTAATTGGCCTTTTTTTTCAGGATTAAGGGGTTTTTTAGTAGCTCAGAAACTCAAACTCCTGTATAACTGCAGATCCTCAGAAAGATGCCTTGTGAGAACACATGGAAAGCCTGGGACGCTGTGCTGGTGGGCAAGCAGTGGTCAGAGATGTGCTCTGCTGGATGCTGATGGGTTAGACGTGACAATCAGCCCTTTTTGGCAGCCTTTCTGCTCCACACAGCCCTGCCACGCTCAGAGCATCAGGGGCGGATGATGAAACATCTAGACCCAAGGACATTTGAATGAAGTGGGACCCAAAATAGTCTGAGACATGAGAAGGGTTGAGGACAAAAAAAAAAAAAAAAAAAAAAGCCCACAAGCCCACCCTGTAATATCTTCTCCAGAAATGCTATATATAGACTAATTCAGCAATTTCTGGAAAGAGCGAGCTATGAAATCCAAATGGCAGCTCTGCCTTGACATCCTGAGTGCAGGGAGCTGAGCCTGCTCTTGGATGCTGCCCTGAACGGGGTAAGCTGGGGGCAGGGGCGGCAGACAGGCAGACTGGGGTTTGCCCCCATGAGTATACCCATGCTCTTGCTGGGGTTCTCCCAAATCTGGAGTTATGAAGGGGTGTGGGGCAGCGAACCCCAGACCTCCCTGAAGCAGGAAGAGGGAGAAGCAAGCCCTGCACCTGATTGTGTAAATTTGGTTTAATATCTCATGCTCCCTTGGGACTTGCAGAGCAGGAACTGGCTTTTTTTCTCCCTTTTTCTCTTTCCTGCCCCATTCCCTCTGCAGTCGTTTGAAATTTCCACTTTGAACTTCGTAGGTAGCCTTCTCTCCCTTACGCCTTTCTTGATGCACCAGGATTTGGTGTTTGCTTCCCATCTGACCCTCTCTGGCTGTGGATAGGAAGGCTCACCCCACCGGCTGCCTCCACCCCGTGTGTGCTTATCCAGTGCTGTCTCTCTCTCTCCACAGGTTATCCTGAAGGACCTGGAAGTGCTGGCTGAGATCGCTTCTTCCCCAGCGGGGCAGACGGAGGGTCACGGTCCTTCTGATGGCTCTGATGCACGACCCAGCCCAGTGGAGCTTCATGTCCCAGCCAGGGCCAGCCAGCTGAGCTCCTCCGGTGAGTGCTGCAGCTCCATGCCTCCGCGCTCCATGGGCTCACTCGATGCGCTGTGGCATTGGTCAGATTTGCTCAGGCAGAAGGAGAAGCCTGTCTTGCAATAATAAATCAATATATCCATCCCCAGCGTAGCTTGGGGATCAAGTCTGCCATGGCACAGACTAGGGAACTGCTTTTACTTTTATTGCTCTTCTCTCTAGCTCACGCTTCGGGGATTTAGGACTCTGTTTAGCAGCAGGATGCTGCAGAGACCAGTGTGGAGAGAGGTCATTATTGTCCTATTTTTTACAGGACCTTGGGTGCCAGCCTCTTCTCTCCCGCTCCCTCTCCCTCCTGAAATCACTTCAGGATGGGATGCTGGCTGCAAGCCCAGGTGTCCAAAACATAGATCAGTCTGCAGAGGGTTCAGTCTGTGCCTGTGATGTTGCCTGTTCAAAGCTGCCTACATTGACTATGAACTGCTATGGTGCTCTGAGAGATGAAGAGGGATAACCCTATTTTCTAGGGACCTGGGGGATTAAAAAAAAAAGCCTTTCATTAATTATCTCGGCACATTAGGAAGTTTTTTCCACTTTCCCTTGTCTGTGGCTCATCCTTTGCAGTCGCTTGGCTGCCCCTTCTCCTCCACTGCTGCTATTTAAGGGCCTCGCTGTTGTACTTCCCAGGCCAGGTCATCCCAGCCAAAAGCACGTTTCACAGCAGCTTTGGATTGCAACCTGAGCACAGAGCCAAGGCTGCCTCTCCCTGCGCAGGATGCGGCCGTGGGGCCTTGCAAAATCACTGCCAGAGAGGGAGGCTTTGCTTTCTGCTCCCCAGGCTTTGTTTTCTCTGAAGATCACAGATCACTCACCCCTCCCTGAGCTTAGAAATGTCTGCACCAGCAATCAGCTCAGGTTTTGGGTTGTTTGGGGTGGTTTGCAGGTTTTTTTTGCAGATTTACCTGTTTCATGCTGGCAGCTTTAGCTCTGCGATAGAAGGGTAGGGGCTGCAATGCTGGCGACCTCCCTAAGCCCTCTGCAAATCTCATCCATCCTCCCGGTGTCAGAAGTGAGACCGCCTGGGTGGAGCAGCTCCTGCGGCGCTGGCCAAGCAGCTGAGGAGCTGCAGTTCAGCTCACACTGATGGTTGTCTGAGGTTTCCTTCCTTGTGGATGATCTAAAAATAGCAGGCTGGATGGCGTGGATCCTAATGGCTGCCGTGGCCCCTGTTAGCTATCTGGAAGAGCAACTTGGCTTCACTTATCCAAGTGTAACATTTGAAAAGAGTCTGGCTCTCCACACACTGAGCAGATCTGCTGGAGCCAGAGCTCCCGTTGCCCCAGGGTGGGGCAGTTTGCCCCCACACGGATCCCAATGGGCTCTGGCTTCCTCACCTACTTTTCTTTTCCTTGTAATGCACCAGAAGATTGTTTCTTTGAGCTTTGCAGGGTCGTTGGCTTTTACCCAAAGGCAAACGTTTTTTGGGGAGGTGAAAAGGAGCTGGTTTGTTGGCCTCAGACGTTTAACATGGCCCCAGTCCCGTCTGGCTCTGACCACCCAGGGCTGAGACTGGATCGGCTGCTGGGCTCCAGCTCGCAGGGGAATTGAGAGGTCACAGCTGGGCCAGGACCCTCCTGGATTACGCCTGGAAAAGAAGAGGCTCTTGGAAAAGACTTTATCAGAGGGTTGTTTGGGGTGTGTTTTTTTGGAGCAGGAGGGTGACTAGTGGAAATCCCTGACTGTGCATGGTCCCAGGGTAGTGTCATACAGTGAGAGTGAGTGAACCCAAACTCTGCCGTGCAGGCTGGTGTGTTTGTGAGTACAGCCCTTCCCAGGTGAAAACCACAAGGTGCTGGCACCGAAGAGAGAGTGTACCTCTTTCTGGGGTCACTGGTTTTGTACTGGGATGTATGGGCATGTTCCCCAAGCACACCTGCCTGGCTAGCACACCTTGGCTCAGACAGTGCTTTATTAGCAGTAAGATGGTATTCACTGCTGGAGGGGAGGCTGCAGGGTACCAGCGCTTCTCCCCAGAGTTAAATCTGTCCGTTCCCTTCATCACACTTTAGACTGAGATGCCATTGGAGCTGGCAGTGGGAGGAGAGCTGCTGAGCCATCTCAGGTCCAGTCCTCTCCTACCTCTGAGGCCCATCCGAGTGTGCAATTGGTGGCTTTTCAGGCAACAAACGTGCACGCCCATTAAAATCCTCGAGGTCACAGCAGGTTTCCATGCAGTGCTCTCCATCTTGGCACTCCAGGCTTTGCCACCTGAGCAGCAAGGGCAGGAGGGGAGGTGGAAGGGGCCAGTGCTCCTGTGGTCTTCCCCTCGCTTCCTCTCACTCCCTTTCTTCCCTCGGGATGTGTTTATGCAGTTGTTTCCCTGCCATTGAGTTCGGTTTCCTTCAGATGCTGGTTGATTAGTCAGGAAAGCCGTGTCCCACTTCCGTAGCTCGTTCCCAGCTCCAATTTTTATTTAGCCGCTTTGTTCTCCAGTTACGTAAGGTCAGCTGCCCTCGACGCCTTCTCCAAACACAATGAGCTGGGGCCAGCCCAGCTCAGCACCGCCTGGGAGACCTGACAGCTCTCCTCCCAGCCTCCTCCAGCTGCTCTGGGAGAGGGTGGCTGGGTGCTGACCTCCAAGAACCTCTCCTTGGTTACCTTCTTCCCACTTTTCAGGGACAAGGTGTGCCCAAGGTTCCCAGTCATTGGGTTGATGGTGCAAATGACCATCTGGTTTCTATAATGGGAGTCCAGCTGCCTGCTTTGCTTTGGGAGTGTTTTGCCAACCCTGTAGAAGTTGGGACAAGTAGTAAATAAGCAAGAGTGGTTGTCACCAAGGCCAACAGGTCAAGGGGGATGATCCTGCCCCTCTACTCTGCTCTGATGAGACCCCCCCCTGCAGTGCTGTGTCCAGCTCTGGGGTCCTCAGCACAAGAAGGACATTGGCCTGCTGGAGTGGATCCAGAGGAGGGACACAAAAATGATCAGAGGGATGAAACACCTCTCCTATGAGGACAGGCTGGGAGAGTTGGGGTTATTCAGTCTGAAGAAGGGAAGACTCTGTGGAGACCTTATCGTGGCCTTTCAGTATTTCAGGGGGGCTTGTAAGAAAGATGGGGACAGACTTTTTAGTAGGGCCTGTTGTGATAGGACAGGAGTAATGGTTTTAAACTAAAAGAGGGGTAGATTCAAGCTAGATATAAGGAAGAAATTTTTTACGATGAGGATGGTGAAACACTGGAGCAGGTGACCCAGAGAGGTGGTAGATGCCCCATCCCTGGGAGTATTCAAGGTCAGGGTCGACAGGGCTTTGAGCAACCTGATTGAGTTGAAGATGTCCCTGTTCATTGTGGGAGAATTGGACGAGATGACCTGTAAAGCTCCCTTCCAGCCAAACCATTCTATGATAGCATGCATCCAAGCCCTCCAGCCTAGTCTCCAGTTCTGCTTTGCATGGGAGGAGAAAGCTCCCTCCAAAAGGATGCTGATACCATCCGCCACCTCATACAGAGTAGCTCTTGCACGCATCTCTTCCTTCCTTTCTCCGCAGCTTTGTAAGGAGGTGGTTATGACCCTTTGTTTCGCAGGAGGCACTTTCCTCTCCAGCTCGGTCTGGTCTCTCCTGCCTGGCTTCCTGCCGGAGATGGTGGGGCCAGTGACGTACCCTCTGAGCACCTCACGCTGTAGGATGTTTACCATGAGGCTGACTCCATTCACGAGTGTGCTAACATGCCCGAGGTCATTGATTTCCACCAGCAGTCCATGGATATCCCAGGAGTCAGTGGATTACTCTAGAGGAGGCTGCTAAAAGTCCCCGAGACACACAGTCTGTTGAGTTCAGACTTGCTGTATCCCCACTGGAGAATATTCAGAGCTCCAGAGCCTGGACCAAACTTGAGATGTTCTGTGGTAGGGATTTCCTGTTGACATCTTTCTGAGGGATTTTTGTTCTCAGTGAGCCAAACCCCTCCTTTTATGTTAACACTTCATTTGTGTAATCACAGATCTGCAGAGGAGGGACAAGGTCCTACCTCCAGATGATCTGGAAGATGTTACGGCAGCCTCTGAAAACACTGGGCAAGTCTGTAGGGTGTGGGGGGTCTGTGAAAGGTATGAAAGAAAAGGTGACCCCTTGTCAGATGGCTCAGATTTACTAAACTGGCATTTCCAATGGTAGGGGAGGTTAAAAGTGAAACTTCTCTGTACTCATCCTCTTCAAAAAAGGCAAGGAGACAGCCGACATCACACCATGGACAACTTGCTCTTGATGGAGCCAGTTTCCAACAGCTTTTACAGGATCAGGAGTGTGACAGCAGGGAGTGGAGGAGCCAGGTGGCATGAGAGGAGAGACTTGTCGCTCCTGAGTGCTCTAAGCAAAACCCTCTGGTTCCTGATGGTCAGTGGCTCTGCCATCTCCTTCCCTACTGACATGGAGCTGTTTAGAAGGGTTGGCTATTAAAAATGCTCTTCTGCCTCTTGGAGAGGAGGGGAATTCAAAGAAAACGGTGATTTCTTTCTTTTCCTGGATCCTCTGCAATGGCAGTGTTGGGATGCTGTGGAAAACTCCAGGAGAGACCATCCAGACTGCAGCTGTAACTCACCTGGCATGGCTTCAGGTATCGATCCCTCCTGAGATGGTTACAGCACATGGCTGACCAGAAAGGTTGGGGATTCCTGAATAAAACCTGGGATTACTGGTCTGTAGGGGCTGCTATGGGAGTTGTTGGGTGTGGATAAGATCACTCCTAGCCAAGCACTCCCAATGTAGTTACTTTACAGTAACTGCCTCAGTTTCCCCAAGATGTTGCAAGGAATTTGAAGGGGTGAGGAATGAGATGAAAACAATTAAGCTGGCAAAATTAATATTGGTGCAGAAATGCCCCGGCAAAGCCCATTGCTGCTCACTCCTGCTTGCAGGTTATCTTCCATGTGCTTCACCTATCCATGCAGCCACTATCTCAGCCCACTCTAAACTCAGCACAAAGCTTCACTGCTCACATTTTTGCAGCTCTGCTGGGTATT